CGGGATGTTGGAGAGGTGCAGGGTCGCGGAGGGCGGGAAGATGTTCTGGAAGTTCTTGGAGCCCGGCTTCTTAAAGCGGTGCAGGGGCGAGTTGCCGTAGTCCTTGGTCAGGCCCTGGTCCTCCTGGCCTTCCCGAGGCAGCTGCACATTCTGGTGCTTGGACAGTGTGATACGCACGGGCTTCCCATGCAGCTTGTGCCCATTGAGGTGGCTCATGGCTGGGGGTAGGTGAGGCCAGAGTGACCGCAGGGTCCCCAGAGCCCAGGCCCCCAACCCCGGCAAGGCTAACCCTAACCCTAACCCTTACCCAGCTGAGCCTGGCTCCCATCGGCCATCTGCACCAGGGCATTCTCCTTCTTGTTGAACAAGACCTTCACACGCTGCACGTCGCCATACACACCTTCAAAAAGCCAAGAGCGGCCTGAGCATCAAAGCCACAGTGTGGGCTCCCCACAGCCCCCACCCCAAACTCGGCTCACTCCTCCCCTGGGGGACCTAGTGGCCACAGGGCCCATTACAGAACCACTAAGTTGAGCCAAAGTCATCAATACAGGACAGTGTGCTGCGGAACGGCCGCCAGAGCATGCTAGCAGCACGCACGGGCACCCCAGGACCAGCATGCAGGGAGCACCATGCACACACCCAGATGCACACTCCCAGGCACACGCACGCACACCGCACACGCACGAGCAGATGGTGTGGGCCAAGGCCAACTGCAAACTCCTAGGAGTACGCTTAGGGTGTTAACATGGCCGCCACTACTGAGACAAGTAATAAAGTGTGAACGATAACATACCGAAGAGAATAAAGAGGCTTTGGGGTGTGACTCTCTAGAGGACAGCAGAGCAAGGCAGCGGAGGGAGAGGGAGAGGGAGAGTCAAAGGGAGCGAGGTTGGCAGTAGTCCACCACGAGGAAGGCAGTCCCCGCAGGCGAGCGACATGGTTGATGGATGACGGAGTTGTCAAGTCAAGATGGTTAATATTCAAGGGCAGGTTGGTTTCCGGAGAGCAGGGTTTGAGAGGAAATTTGTTTTTGTTTTTTTGTTTTGTTTTTTTTTAAATGTTTTGTTTGTTCAAGCAACAACAGGAAGCAGAAGTGCCGTGCAGTCAGTTGGCAAAGAAATTCCGGATCAGGGCAAGAAAAAAAACCGGGAAAGGGGAAGGGGAGAAAAGAAAAAGTAGCAAAAAACACAGGTCAGTAAATACGTAAGAAAATAATGGAGTGTTGCATCAGTAAGATCTACACACATTAATGGTACAGGTCCACCGCGCAGACAGCGAGGTTCCTCTGACAGTGCGGGCAGGAGACCACGTGCATGCGGCCTCCAGGCCGGGCCCTCCAGGGCCTCTGTGCAGCACCCCAAGGCTCAGGCCGCACGCACACCAGTGGATCTCCTGTCCGCATGGCACAGGTCAAGGCTCTCATGATTAAAGGCCAGGAGGCGAGGGCCAGGAGGTGAGGGGATGGTTAGTTCACACCTGGCCTCTCGTCTCAGCAGCCGCTCCATGGTAGGGAGCCCGTGCCTCAGAGAAGTGCAAAGAGTTGTCAGACAGAAAGGAACAGTCTGAAATGTTGATTCAACAGTAATCCCATTAATCAAGAAGTTAGATACTCTGAACTTTCATCTCATCCAAGCTGGAGGCAATTCCAACAAAAACTCACAGCAAGACACTCAGCCCTCCCTGGGTGGGGCCTGCAGCCACCACGTGGGGGACCTGTCCCCAGAACCCTCACCAGCCACGGCCTGACGGGACCTGCCAACAGCAACTGGGCTGGGCTGGGCTCCCCATGTCTCAGACAGAATTAAGCTCTGGACGTTACAGAACTAGAAACATAAACCAAGGAGTTCCGCAGACAAGAGGACCTCTAGAAGGAGTGGGTATGCAGGAGTGGAGGGGGACCCTGCCTGCTGTCCCCAACACGACGGCGTGAACCCCCAGGTGCCCCGCAGGCCTGACCCCAGGGGAAGCCCACATACCTCTGGGTTCAGGTTGCTGACCAGCAGGACTGAGTTTCCTGCCCCTGCCAGGCCAGGAATGGCAATGCGGCCTGCTGCCGCTGCTGCGGCTGCAGCCGAGGGAATGGCCAGGGGAGCAAGGGCACCGTGGACGTTGGGAACAGAGAGGCCTGAAAATGAAGAAGCATTGTGGGCGGTGTTGGGCAGGGCCCAGCATCCTGGCAAGAGCCTACATCTCTCATGCAAAGGTGCAGGCCAGTCCGCCTGGCCTCAAGCAGGTCTGCGTGGGGCTGGCCCTCTCCCCGCTCCTCAGACAGCATCCTCCACGGGTCTCTCACTTATCTACCGGCCACCCTTGCTCTGCTCTTGGTCTCTCCCAGGGGTGTCTGCGAACACTAGTGCCCACGGCCGTGCAGCAGTCACCTGCCTGCTCCCTCAGGCGGGGTGTCCTCAGCCTGCTTTGTCACTGGCCAGACCCTGCTCCCGGGGCCCCACTACCTGCGGGCTCAGGACAGTATGCTGGCCAGCCCACACTGGCCGCAGAGAGAAAGCGGGTGTAGGCAGGTGGTGTGGGCATGCAGACCAGAGGTGGGGTGTGAGGAGTGAGTACCTGCAGCTTGAGGAATGGCAAAGGTGGGAGGGAAACCAGCTCCTGCATACGGAGAGGCTGAGATTATACCAGGTGCACCTAGAAACAAAGAGACACTAATCGCTGCACCCGGGCTTGGCGGGGCGGGGGAGCTGCGGGCCTGCAGGCCCACCTGGCCGTGGGGTGGGGGCTGAGCATTTCCCTGGGGCCTCAGCTGGGTCCTGAGCTATGTGGCCATGTCCCCTTCTCCCCGTGGGCACACTCTCCCAGGGCAGGGCAGGGCCAGGGCCTCACCAAAGGCGGCAGCCATGGTCTGGTCCAGGGAGGGCTGGCTGTCCCCAGAGGGCAGGTCAGGGCGCGTGTAGTCGCGGCTCTTGTCATTGTTGTACTTGACGTTGAGGCTGGTGAGCTTGGAGAAGTCGATGCGCAAAGTGCAGCAGGCGTTGTAGATGTTCTGTCCGTCCAGTGACAGCTTGGCGTGCTGGGCGCTCACGGGCTCTGCGTACTGCAGCAGCGCCTGGAACTGGTTGTTCTTGGTGAAGGTGATGATCTTCAGGACAGTTCCGAACTTGGAAAAGATCTGA